TCATTATCAACTCGTTTGTTCTCTGTGGCCACGGGAGGGCAGATTTGAGGTAAAACCAGGCAGAAACGAGTCAGGGGAAGATGAAACAGCTTGAGAGTTGGGATTCAGCTTTCCAGGCAGAACTGGTCCCTACCCAAGGTGATGCCACCACCCTGGACCTGTCTACATTATCCAGATCCACAATCCCTCCCAGAAAGACCTCCTGGACCCCCAGAGCTCCCCAATACCTTGTCACAGAGTGCAGCCAGGCAAAGACAGACCCAGCTGGTCCCTACCCAAGGTGGTGGCACCACCCTGAACCTGTCTACATCACCAAGATCCACAATCCCACCCCAAAAGACCTCCTGGACCCCCAGAGCTCCAATACCTTGTCACAGACAAGGTATTGTCTGGTCCCTACCCAATGTGGTGTCACCACCCTGGACCTGTCTACATTATCCAGATCCACAATCCTTCCCAGCAAGACCTCCTGGATGCCTAGAGACCCCCCAATAACTCACTGTGCCATCCTCACCCAGTACCTCTCCCAGACCCCAGTGGCCCCAGTGTCCTGCAGGACTCTTCCCCCTTCCCAGTGCCATCCATCCCCCCACCCACCCATTCAGAATGGGCAGCAGCACTCACAGGCACAGGGTTATTAGAAAATAAAGTGTTTAATAAAAGAGCAGCTCCTGCTCCCTTCACAGCACAGGGGAGGGCGGAGGGGAACGACCGCCGGGCAGCAGGAGATGACCAGGGGACAGCAGGGGGAGAAGGAGAAGGAGGAGGAGGAGGAGGAGGAGGAAGAGGAGGAGGAGGAGGAGGACGGCGCCCTCCCACGCAGTGGCATCTCCTCCCCCAGCTGCCTCCATCCAGTGTTTCAAGTCCACACAACCAAGGGAGAAGCCCAGAGGGGCTTGGAGGGTCCAGGGAGGTGGCTCAGGACCCTGCCAGATAGATCCCTGTGGAGGAAAGGTGATGAGGATGTTAAGTGACCTGAGCTTGATGCCAACAGCAAACTGGGCAACCTCCCAGGGTGGGCATCCCCGTGGGGCATTGACTAGTGAAGGGAGAATAAAGTTTGGGGGGGTGGAAAGGGGATTCCATGCACTCCAGGGGCAGGAGGAGCAGGGAAGGGATTCCCAGCACGCTGGGAAAGGGATCTCATGCCACCCAGGGAAGGGACCTCAAGCACCTCAGGACAGGGGACAAGGAGAGGACCTTGCAAGGCTGTGGGGAAGGGACCCACACACCTCCCTGCCCACCTCCCCCAGCTGTACCTGTAGCAAACCTCTTCTTGACCAGTGACATGCGGTACCCAGCGCTCGCCAGCTCTACCTCCACCCCTGACAGTGTGCTGCCCTCACTGCTGAACTGGGCAGCCACGGGACTGGGTTTACTGGGCCCTTCCAGGGGCTCCCAGCTGGCTGAGAGACGCCCAGAGCCTGAGGGGAACAGGGGAGGGGTTGCAAGGCTGTCTAGACCCTGTGCCCCTGCCCTGTGCCCTCTGAGCAGGGTGGGCACAGACTCACCTCCCTGCCCTGGGGCACCAGGGAGGTCCAGCAGCTTCCACAGCAGCCTCTTCTCCTCCAGGTTCCTGCCAGGACACAGAAATGGCCTCAAGCCCCCCCAGACCACTAAAAATCCACCCCATCCACACCTCCCTGCCTTCCTCATGCCATCAGAATCCCCATTTCCCAGCTCAGGGTCCCCCTCTTCTACCCTGGGGTGGTTTGGGACCCCCCAAGTCCTGTGTCTCCCACCCTGGTGGTGTTTGGGACCCCAAGTCCTGTGTCTCCCACCTTGGGAGGGGATTTAGACCCCAAATCTGCATTTCCCACCCTGGAGGGGATTGGGATCCCCAGTTCTGTGTTCCTCACTCTGGTGAGGTTTGGAAACTCAATAAATCCTACATCTCCCACTTTGGGGGAACATGCGACACCCAGTCACACATTTCCCATCCCATGGGCAATTTGGGACCCCCAGACTGCTGTTCCCCACTCTGGTGAGGTTCAGAAACCAAATAAAATCCTGTCTCCCACTCTGGGGGAACATGGGAACCCCAGTCACACATTTCCCATCTCCTGGGCAATTTGGGACCCCCAGACTGCTGTTCCCCACTCTGGTGAGGTTCAGAAACCAAATAAAATCCTGTCTCCCACTCTGGGGGAACATGGGACCCCCAGTCACACGTTTCCCACCCCAAGAAGGGTTTGATCCCCCCACCCATCCTTCCCCCAGTTACCAACTGGCCGCAGGCTGCAGCCTCAGGTTGGTGAGAGGCTCCTCCACGGGCAGCAGGACGTGGACGTTGGCAAGGGGCACGGGCAGGGCCAGGGCTCCAGCATTGTACCCATACTCCACGCTGACCCTCGTGGCCCCGGGGGCACAGTCCCAGCGCACACAGAGCCGCAGAGGCGCCGAACTGGGACCCAGTCGTGAGAACTGGGCAGGGTGGCAGAGGTTAGGGAGGGCACTGAGACCCTCCAGCCCCCAAGGATGGGGCTTGGGCAGTGCCAACTCTCGCTCCCCCGCAGGGCTCACCTGGTATTTGAGCAGAGCCACGTTGTAGTAGGAGGAGTTTGGGCTCTGCTCCGCCTGTTTCTGCAGGTGTCCTGTCAGCGCTGCCATGTTCAGCCAGAAGTCCTTGGTGCTGGGGTCACTCTGCGAGGGGTCACTGGGGGCACAGGGGCAGTGGTGGGGGGGCTTGGGCACCCCCCAGGAACCCCAGGACTGAGATCCCCACTGCTGCACCCACCAGCACCCCAAGACACCCAGATCTCCAGGGACCTCATGCATCCCAGTATCCAGCTCTCCATTACTGCATTCACAGGCTCCCAGTGCCTAGATCCCAGCAAACCCCTGTACCCCTGTACCCCAGTACCACCTCCCAGGGTCCCTCTATCACCCCAGACCGCCCCTGTACCACCTCAGCCACCCCCTG